GCCGTGACGTGATTATGGAGTTGTGGCCTGAGTGATGGGTCCACGTGATTCTTGGGTGGCATGTGTTGCCATGTGTGTGTACGGTACCTTGTGTACTATGAAATTGGTGGTCTCGTTGGTGGTCGTTGGTGGGGGACGACGATCCCGGAGGGAAAAGGTTGGACTAAGAAATATAGGGGTCCTGGAGCTAATGGTTGGAAAGAAGAAACAAGGTTGGGGGTAGCCATAAGGTTGGAATAGGGCATAAGGCAGGCATATCAACTCGTGATGGGTGATGTCACGAGGGCTATTGTAGCCATTGTGGTGAGTTCTTCTCTTGTGATGTGTGTAGACACAAAGGCATGTGTTGCCTTGGCATGTATTGCCGGTTGTGTGAGTTTTATCCTTTTTGCATTGTGCTTGTCGGGTTTTGATCTATTGAGTGATGATAGATCATGCCTTGACTCTTTTGTGAGTCGTGCTGGTTCTTGTGGTATTGGGATGTGTTCCCGTGTGTTGTTTGTGGAGTGTTGTAACACCCCCCAAAAACAAGGCCCAATTGATGCCCTAACACAAGCAGATTAACAACAAAACTAGCACAGCTGAAGATAAACGGAAACTGGATAAAAGAAATCCAAAAAGGGGTGTTCTGCCACGTATACCACACTAGGTAACGCTAAGGCAACAATCTGCAAGTGTATAATACTATCCCAATACATCAATCTAAACAGTCTAAAAACATTGGCGCACAGGCCACAAAAACACAACGGTGCTAAGCTACCAGGCTCTAGACATCGCTCTCGTCTAAACACCACCTGAAAGATAAAAAGATAAACAATGGGACGACGCCCGGTCAGCGAATAATGCTGGTAACCCACCAATACCGTTAAGTATCATAAATAGGTAGATATAAGATATAAAAACCATTTTTGAAACGGAATACATATATATAAGTCAAAAGCCAAGATCAAAAGACAACACAAGACTCACCACTCACAAGGATAACACCGGGAACACATCCCAACCACAAAGGTTAACCACTCACAAGGATAAAGACTCACCCAACGGCAACACATGCCAAAACACCACAAGCCTCCGTGACTACACACGTCACGAGAGAAGATCACACAACGCCGGCTTTACAAGCCCTCGAAACATCACCCATCACGAGTTTGGTATGCTTTCCTTATGCCTTGTTCCAACCTTATGGCTACCCCCAACCTTGTACCTTCTTTCCAACCACTACCTCCAGGATCCCCTGTACAGCCAAGTCCAACCTTATTCCGCCGGGATTGTCGTTCCCCACCTATAACCACCAACGAACCACCACCAATCACGGCAACACATGCCCGGATAACACATGTTATCCCCCAATCACGTGGACCCATCACTCAGGCCACAACTCCATAATCACGTCACGGCCACCACGAGGACCGCTGCAATACCTTGGTGACTAGTGTCCCATACCACTAATCGTGCAATCCAGGTAGAGCCACACACGCTGTTGAGGACAACGATGATCCATTACGAGTCCTAGTAGATGGTCCAATGACAAGGGCAAAGGCTAAACAATTACAAGATGCCGTTGGAGGGCTAATTAGCGCTCAATGGGATATGGATCAATTTGATGAGGACAAGGAGCGGCCGGTTAATCTAATTGGGGTCCAGTTGGAGGGAAATTAATTGAATTGGGCTATGCTGATTACATGGATAGTAAATAAATTTATTGGACTATCAATTAGTATTCAAATAATGGGTAGCATATTATTTCTTTTATAATAAGTAGTCTAGTTATTTGTTTTTAGTTAGACTTTAGTGCTATGTTTGAATTCAAACTATCCATGTCCTAGGCTTTAGGCAAGAGGCATGCTAGGGAGCTATATATAACACTCCTAATCTCTTTGTAAAGGACACACATTAGATTTTGAGAAATAGCAAACAAGAGCACTACTTGTGCCTTGCCTTGTTCTTGAGTTCTTCAAGACTTCCCGACTTATCAAGGACTTTTTTTCTTCCTTATGGTGTCTCTTTCTTTGTATCACCTTCAAACCAGGTGTGGGCAAATCCCAATCTTAGAAAACACCATAACCCTTCCCGCAACACAACCCAAATCCGTCTAACAGAACCACATCACAAACCAACCGAGACAATGCCAGCTCCGTTCTACTAGAGACGTGAAAAAGCCCGAGGACCAAACGAGAACGCAAGGTTTCCAAACTTCGTCTCCAGCCCAAGGATCACATCATCTTTGGTATCAAAGCCAGGTTGGCTTATTCACGTCTTAGAGGTTACAAATCACAACCTAATTTATATATTTTTCTTACCGTCTATCCTCTATTCAATTGCTGCCAGTTTTCTTCCTTTTGTGTTATCTTTTTAGCTACCAAAACTAGTCCCAAAAGCAAAGTGCATAATTTTTTCGTGATCCTTAATGAGTCTACTGTCTCTAAATTAAATTTCATCAATTAATTCCTTGCCATATAGCCCCAATTGATTGATCAATACTCACTGCCGAAAATTTCCCAGATTTGCGCAGTTAGATTGAAAAATTCCAAAAAAATACTTATGTATCGTATTTTGTTCTGAATGTTTTTGTAAAAGTAGTACACACATAATACTTGAAAACCCGAAAATTTCAGTCCAAAACAATTTGTCAATTGTTCCCCGAAATTCTGTGAAGTTACACCCAGATTTTGTAACTTTCTGCCAAACTGTTTTGTTTTTGGTGTGTTTCATTTGTGCTAAATCTATTTTATCCTTTATTTTTGCATTCAAAAAAAAAAAGGGAAAGAAAAACATAAGAAAAGAATCAAAAGAGGAAAGAAAAAAATTCAAAAAAAAATCAAAAAAATAAATATACCATTCTGTATGCTGAGAAGCTTGTTCACTTATTTGTTATTAGTTTGAGTATTGTACCAATTTTCTTTCAAGCCAAACACCCAATAACCTTTTATCCTATCACCCACGCCTTGTGGAAGAAGTATTCCTTAGATTGTTGGAAAGTCCGTCAAGAACTCGTAGAAAAGGGTCTTGTTCTTTGCTATTTGTGTGTTTTTGTGAGACCATTAGAGTGTTTTATTTTAATACACGAGCGGTAAAAGAAGAGTGACTCACCCTAAAACTGAGAGTGTGTGAGGGAGTGAAGTAAGGGCCTTATTTATATTATATATATACATATTTTAATTTTGCTATTTTAATGGCGGAGGGTGGGGAGACTAGTGAGCGAAGGGAAACCCAAAATCCAGATGTTAGGTTCATGGTGGACGCGATGAGGGGAGAATTTGACAGGTTAAATAGATGGTTTGAGGAGATGGATGGTATAATGGTTGAGATGGAGAGAAACCAGAGGGGGGAAAGGATACAAGATGAAAATAGAGGGAGAAATGGGGTGCAATTTAGGGAACAGAACAGAGAAAGGGAGAGAAATAGAAGACAAAATGAGAGGGAACAAATGAGTAATAGTAGTGGAGAGGAGAGTGAAGAAATAGATGAGAATAGAGAATTTAGAAGGGAAAGAAACAGAAGGGGTAGAAATCGGTGGGTAGAAGTGGATGATGACATGAGGGATGTTCGGCCAATGATCCCTAAGTTTCAAGGGAAAAATGACCCGGAAGCTTATCTAGATTGGGAAAGTAGGGTGGTGAGGTCATTTGAATGTCATAGGTATTCAGAGAGGAAGAAGTTAAGACTGGTAGTCCTAGAGTTCACAGACTATGCTTCTAGCTGGTGGGATAAGATTATAGCTGAGAGAAGGAAGTATGGAGAGGATCCTATAGAGTCTTGGAGGGAGTTGAGAATTTTAATTAGGAGGCGATTTGTACCAAGTTGGTACCAACGTGAAATGTATCAACGACTTGAATATCTTTTGCAGGGTGCTAGAAGTGTTGCTGACTACAATCAAGAGATGGAGAAGCTCATGATCAGGCTTAACATAGATGAAAAGACCGAGAGGTCCATGGCCCGATTCCTTAGAGACAATGCCAGCTCCGTTCTACTAGAGACGTGAAAAAGCCCGAGGACCAAACGAGAACGCAAGGTTTCCAAACTTCGTCTCCAGCCCGAGGATCACATCATCTTTGGTATCAAAGCCAGGTTGGCTTATTCACGTCTTAGAGGTTACAAATCACAACCTAATTTATATATTTTTCTTACCGTCTATCCTCTATTCAATTGCTGCCAGTTTTCTTCCTTTTGTGTTATCTTTTTAGCTACCAAAACTAGTCCCAAAAGCAAAGTGCATAATTTTTTCGTGATCCTTAATGAGTCTACTGTCTCTAAATTAAATTTCATCAATTAATTCCTTGCCATATAGCCCCAATTGATTGATCAATACTCACTGCCGAAAATTTCCCAGATTTGCGCAGTTAGATTGAAAAATTCCAAAAAAATACTTATGTATCGTATTTTGTTCTGAATGTTTTTGTAAAAGTAGTACACACATAATACTTGAAAACCCGAAAATTTCAGTCCAAAACAATTTTTCAATTGTTCCCCGAAATTCTGTGAAGTCACACCCAGATTTTGTAACTTTCTGCCAAACTGTTTTGTTTTTGGTGTTCTTCATTTGTGCTAAATCTATTTTATCCTTTATTTTTGCATTCAAAAAAAAGGGAAAGAAAAACATAAGAAAAGAATCAAAAGAGGAAAGAAAAAATTCAAAAAAAAAATCAAAAAAATAAATATACCATTCTGTATGCTGAGAAGCTTGTTCACTTATTTGTTATTAGTTTGAGTATTGTACCAATTTTCTTTCAAGCCAAACACCCAATAACCTTTTATCATATCACCCACGCCTTGTGGAAGAAGTATTCCTTAGATTGTTGGAAAGTCCGTCAAGAACTCGTAGAAAAGGGTCTTGTTCTTTGCTATTTGTGTGTTTTTGTGAGACCATTAGTGTGTTTTATTTTAATACACGAGCGGTAAAAGAAGAGTGACTCACCCTAAAACTGAGAGTGTGTGAGGGAGTGAAGTAAGGGCCTTATTTATATTATATATATACATATTTTAATTTTGCTGTTTTAATGGCGGAGGGTGGGGAGACTAGTGAGCGAAGGGAAACCCAAAATCCAGATGTTAGGTTCATGGTGGACGCGATGAGGGGAGAATTTGACAGGTTAAATAGAAGGTTTGAGGAGATGGATGGTATAATGGTTGAGATGGAGAGAAACCAGAGGGGGGAAAGGATACAAGATGAAAATAGAGGGAGAAATGGGGTGCAATTTAGGGAACAGAACAGAGAAAGGGAGAGAAATAGAAGACAAAATGAGAGGGAACAAATGAGTAATAGTAGTGGAGAGGAGAGTGAAGAAATAGATGAGAATAGAGAATTTAGAAGGGAAAGAAACAGAAGGGGTAGAAATCGGTGGGTAGAAGTGGATGATGACATGAGGGATGTTCGGCCAATGATCCCTAAGTTTCAAGGGAAAAATGACCCGGAAGCTTATCTAGATTGGGAAAGTAGGGTGGTGAGGTCATTTGAATGTCATAGGTATTCAGAGAGGAAGAAGTTAAGACTGGTAGTCCTAGAGTTCACAGACTATGCTTCTAGCTGGTGGGATAAGATTATAGCTGAGAGAAGGAAGTATGGAGAGGATCCTATAGAGTCTTGGAGGGAGTTGAGAATTTTAATGAGGAGGCGATTTGTACCAAGTTGGTACCAACGTGAAATGTATCAACGACTTGAATATCTTTTGCAGGGTGCTAGAAGTGTTGCTGACTACAATCAAGAGATGGAGAAGCTCATGATCAGGTTTAACATAGATGAAAAGACCGAGAGGTCCATGGCCCGGTTCCTTAGAGGCTTGAATGCAGAAATTCGAGAAGAAGTTGATAGGCAACATTATGTGGAGTATGATGAGCTAGTACAAATAGCCATGAATGTGGAGCAGTCTTTGCAAAGAAAGAAAAACCGGTTCCACATGAGTTCTTCCTCTTGGAAGAGTAAGGAGGGTTCCAAGGAGAGATTCCAGTCAAGGAATGGCAATGGTAAACCCAAGGAGTCTAGAAACCAAAAAGGTAAGGACTTTGCTGAAGGAAACTCTAGGCCACGTAACATCAAGTGTTTCAAATGTCAAGGAAGAGGCCATATTGCAAAAGTTTGTCCAAACAAGGTAAATATGACAATCAAGAAAGGGAGGATTGTTACTGATTCCGAGCAAAGTGATTCCAAGGAGGAGATCGAAGAAGAATCTGATTCACGTGAGGAGGAACTACTTGAAACTGATAATGAAGAAGTTTTGGAGGGACCAGTTGAGGGAGATACCTTGATGGTAAGGCGCATGCTCAACATCCAAGCCACCGGGGATGAAAGTCAACGTGAAAACATCTTTCACTCAAGGTGTTTTGTTCATGGGAAGGTATGTAGTTTAATAATTGATGGCGGGAGCTATACTAATGTTGCTAGTACAAAAATGGTGGAGAAGCTAGGCTTGAGCACACAAATCCATCCTACACCATATGCGTTGCAGTGGTTAAACAAGGCGGGAGATATCAAGGTGAATCAACAAGTTTTGATTCCGATCAAGTTGGGACATTATGAAGATGAGATCCTTTGTGACATAGTGCCCATGGACGCTGCTCACATTCTTCTAGGGAGGCCGTGGCAGTTTGATATGAAGGTGTTCCATGATGGTTATTATAACAAGTACATGTTCGAGCACCGAGGCAAGAAGATCACCTTAACCCCAATGACTCCGCGACAAATTCACGATGACCTTCAGAAAATGAGGGAAAGAGAGAAAAATGAGAAAAGAATTGAAAAAAAAAATAGTGAACATAGTGTTGAAAAAGAGAGTGGAAGGAAAAGAGAGAAAAATAAAAGTGAGGACAAAGAAAAAACAAAGAAAAATTTCATTGGAAAAAAGAGAGATATTGAAAAAGCAATAAGAGCGGGGAGGCAAGTTTTTCTTTTGTTGTATAAAGGACCCAACGAGGGTACTACTAATCCTAGTCATTTGCCCGAGGCAATGACTTCTTTAATGCAGGAATTCAAGATGTTTGTCCGGAGGAACTTCCTGCCTGTTTACCACCGTTGAGGGGGATTGAACACCAAATTGACTTGGTGCCGGGAATGCCATTACCGAATAGGCCTGCCTACCGATGTAACCCGGAGGAGACTAAGGAAATCCAAAAGCAAGTTAATGAACTCTTGGCCAAAGGGCAAATCCGGGAAAGCCTAAGCCCGTGTGCCGTTCCTGTTTTGCTAGTACCCAAAAAAGATGGGTCATGGCGAATGTGCGTTGATTGTCGCGCAATTAACAAAATAACTGTCAAATATCGTTTCCCTATACCCCGTTTAGATGACATGCTTGATGAATTATTTGGTGCTTGTTATTTTTCTAAGATTGATTTGCGTTCTGGGTATCATCAAATAAGAATTAAGGAAGGGGACGAATGGAAAACAGCCTTCAAGACTAAACAGGGTCTATATGAATGGCTTGTTATGCCGTTCGGCCTGACTAACGCACCTAGTACCTTTATGAGACTCATGAACGAAGTTTTACGAGATTTCATTGGGAAAAGTGTTGTTGTTTATTTTGATGACATACTTATTTATAGCAAGAGTCTTAACGAGCATGTTAGACATCTTAGGGAAGTGTTTTCTTCTTTGAGGAAATATAAACTGTATGCTAATCTAAAAAAATGTGAGTTTTGCACTTCGTCGGTACATTTCCTTGGCTATATTGACAATGCCAACGGGATTGAGGCTGATAGTGCTAAAATTGAGGCTGTCCAGCAATGGCCTACACCGAAAACGGTTAGCGAGGTAAGAAGCTTTCACGGATTAGCGAGCTTTTATCGCCATTTTGTGAAAGATTTTAGCTCAATTGCTGCATCGCTAACTGAGGTGATTAAAAAGAACGTTGGCTTTGAGTGGGGTGAAAAGCAAGAGAATGCCTTTAATGAGTTAAAAGAAAGATTGTGTAAGGCACCTATTCTTGCTTTGCCTAATTTTGATGCTGTTTTTGAGATAGATTGTGATGCTTCCGGAGTAGGAATAGGGGCTGTACTAATCCAAGGGGGTAAGCCCGTAGCATACTTTAGCGAGAAGTTAAGTGGGGCTTCCCTAAATTATCCTACTTATGACAAAGAGTTCTTTGCTTTAGTGCGTGCTTTAGAGCATTGGGAGCATTACTTGCGTCCAAAAGAGTTTGTTATACATACTGACCATGAATCATTGAAGTATCTAAGAGGTCAGGGTAAACTTAATAAGCGACACGCGAAATGGGTTGAATTTATTGAGTCTTTTGCATATTCCATAAAATATAAACATGGGAAGGATAATGTTGTTACTGATGCTTTGTCTAGGAGATGTGCTTTACTCACGTCTCTACATGCTAGGGTTTTAGGCTTTGAGCATTTGAAAGAACTTTATAACTCTGACATTGATTTTGGAGCAAGTTTTAATGCATGTTTAGAGGGAAATTTTGGTGAGTACTCTTTGAATGACAGTTTTCTGTTCAGGAAAGGCAGGTTATGTATTCCTTCGTGTTCCATGAGACAGCTGCTTCTTAAAGAAGCTCATGGTGGTGGACTCATGGGTCATTTTGGGGTCTTGAAATCTCTCGAGATATTGAAGGACCATTTTTATTGGCCCAAAATGAAACGTGACGTGCATAGAGTCTGTGATAGTTGTGTTACCTGCAAACAGGCTAAGTCCAAGGTACAACCTCATGGGTTGTATACTCCTTTGCTTGTAGCCTCTCATCCATGGGAAGATCTGTCAATGGATTTTGTGTTGGGATTGCCGAGAACTGTTCGGGGACATGACTCCATTTTTGTTATTGTTGACAGGTTCTCAAAAATGGCGCATTTTATTCCATACCATAAGACTGACGATGCTAGTAATGCCGCCAATTTGTTTTTCAGGGAGATTGTTAGGCTTCATGGAATGCCTAAGTCTATTGTGTCCGGCAGGGATGTAAAATTTTTAAGTTATTTTTGGAAGACTCTATGGGGTAAATTGGGCACTAAGCTACTTTTTTCTACTACGTGTCATCCACAAACGGATGGGCAAACTGAAGTAGTGAATCGTACTTTAGTCACTTTGCTTAGAGTTTTAGTGAAGAAAAATCTTAAGTCTTGGGAAAGTCATATTCCACATGTTGAGTTTGCATATAATAGGCATATCCATTGCGCTACTGGATTTTCGCTTTTTGAGATCGTTTATGGATTTAATCCTATTACTCCATTAGACTTAACACCTCTTTCTGTTTCTGATTTTGAAAACATGGATGCTGCAAGGAAGGAAAAATGGGTGAAAGACATCCATGCGAAAGTGAGCTAAAATATAGCAAGACGGAATGAACAAGTGGCTCGACGAGTCAACAAAGGACGTCGGAAGGTTGTGTTCAACCCTGGAGATTGGGTTTGGTTGCATTTGAGGAAGAATCGATTTCCAGTTCAAAGGCGGAGCAAGCTGCTGCCACGAGGAGATGGGCCTTTTCATGTAGTCTCCCGGATTAACGATAACGCCTACAAGTTGGCCTTGCCAAGTGAGTATGGCGTCAGTACTTCTTTCAATGTTTCTGATCTTTCTCCGTTTAATGCAGACAAGGCAGATTCGTGGACGAATCCTTCAAAGGAGGGGGGAGATGTTGAGGACAACGATGATCCATACGAGTCCTAGTAGATGGTCCAATGACAAGGGCAAAGGCTAAACAATTACAAGATGCCGTTGGAGGGCTAATTAGCACTCAATGGGATATAGATCAATTTGATGAGGACAAGGAGCGGCCGGTTAATCTAATTGGGGTCCAGTTGGAGGGAAATTAATTGAATTGGCTTATGCTGATTACATGGATAGTAAATAAATTTATTGGACTATCCATTAGTATTCAAATAATGGGTAGCATATTATTTCTTTTATAATAAGTAGTCTAGTTATTTGTTTTTAGTTAGACTTTAGTGCTATGTTTGAATTCAAACTATCCATGTCCTAGTCTTTAGGCAAGAGGAATGCTAGGGAGCTATATATAACACTCCTAATCTCTTTGTGAAGGACACACATTAGATTTTGAGAAATAGCAAACAAGACCACTACTTGTGCGTTGCCTTGTTCTTGAGTTCTTCAAGACTTCCCGACTTATCAAGGACTATTTTTCTTCCTTGTGGCGTCTCTTTCTTTGTATCACCTTCAAACCAGGTGTGGGCGAATCCCAATCTTAGAAAACACCATAACCCTTCCCGCAACACAACCCAAATCCGTCTAACAGAACCACATCACAAACCAACCGAGACAATGCCAGCTCCGTTCTACTAGAGACGTGAAAAAGCCCGAGGACCAAACGAGAACGCAAGGTTTCCAAACTTTGTCTCCAGCCCGAGGATCACATCACACGCACCACAACTCAACAGGAATCAATCAAAGGATTGCAACGAAGGTATGAAACATACTCAATCAAGGAACGGGTCACAGCCCAACAACAACAACGATGAATAACACAAGTTATCATCAACCAAACGGAAGGTACAAACCACACACACTCTTGCATTAAGACAACAAACTAGCATGCTTATCAATGGGGAAACTCAAGATAGTTCCGAGGAACACACAAGACACCTTTTGGTCCAACGAAGCACGATGTTGAACACTTAGCACGAATCAAGACACCAAAGACCCTAAATGGATACCTACCATATAGTTCTAGACCTACGAAACATCAAGAAGACACTCAAATAGTTCCACAAAAGAACATCGGGAAGCCAAAAGATCAAACACCACGACAACTAAATCACGGGGAACAAATCCCAACATCACCACGACCATGTACCCGCGGGTGGACTCACGGGTAGTGCCCCACCCGTGGTCCCGCCCGCGGGAACAATATCCCACGAGGCTGTGTACCCGCGGGTAGGCCGGCGGGTGGTGCCCCGCCCGCCATTCCGCCCGCGGGAACATACCTGTTCCACAACAAATCCCTTCGGGGATTTTCTTCCCCAAACACAAATTCAAGTCCAAAACATGCCAAATCTAACCAAACACAACAAAATCACTTGAACCAAGGAAAATGCCAAGCAATGGCACAAAGGAACCCTAAACATAAGCTATAGATATGCAATTTCGCAAGATAAATGCATAAAACCCTCACATTTCATAGCAAAAATACATGTAGAATCCAAGAAATCACATATAGGTAAGCAAAATAGTTTTTGTAGAGCATGGGTTACCTCTTGAAGACCAAAAGAATTCTCTTACACCACAACAAGCTCTCCACTAGGCTCACTTCTCAAACCCACTTCAAGATCAAACCAAAAGATCATAAAGATCCTACCTTTAAGAAAAAGACAACTAAGATGGAACCAAAAAGACTAGACAAGCTTAGATCTTACCCTTCTAGATGCCCAAATAGGTGAAAGGTTGATTCTTGGAAGCAAAACTTGGAATCTTGACAAGGGTCTCAACTTGGCTTGGAGAATAAGCTACACTTCTATTCTAGAGAGAAGGTAGAGATATTTTTCTAGGAATTGTAAGGAATGAAATGAAGAAGTCTTCTAGGTTAGGATACAATACTAACTCTTGGTGAAAAGACAAGGCTACCCTTACTAACCCTTAGAAAGTGTAAGGAACAAGGGAACTCCTCTCTAAGCACAAGGTACAACACAACTTAAAGATTGACTAGTCAAATACTAGTCCTTGAGTATTAAAATTCAGTATTTTAGGAATCAATTCCTCAAAAGAATTAGAATTAATTACTCAATTAATTCATGGATTGGAGTGTGGATTTTTGGGGTGTCACATCCTCTCCCCCTTCAAAGAAGTTTCGTCCCCGAAACTTGGGTACAACGAATTAAAAGCGAATGGTAACAAGGAAACGAAATTGTGACAAGAAATCCAAGAATAGTCCTTTCGGTCAAAAACTCCAAATGTACTCACAAGGGATCCAAAGCAAAGAAGAACACATTACGAATTCAAGGATTGGTCAAGAGTTAAAAGAATGGATAGATTGAGCATCAAGAACTCTAACCTCAACTCAACAACCAAGAACTCAACAACTAACTCCAAACACCAACTAGCACACTAGCTAAACAACAAGGCAACAAGCAAAACAAGCAAACACAAAAAGCACACGACAACCTAACACCAAACTAACAACGGCTAAGAAAGAAACAACAAGAAAGAAGCGAACGGGGTTACCGCAACACAAACTAGAACTCCTCACTCTCCGACTCCTCGACCTCTTCGAACTCTTCCTCGTTTTCGTCTCTGTGGCTTGAACTGGCTTCAATCTGGTCCAGCCCTCACAAACGCAAAGCCCTCAGCGATCAAACTGTTCTGCTGACGAAGCAAAGAGAAGACGTCATGCTCTCTCTTGGTGCGAGCTTCCTTCCTTCTCCGGCTTTCCTCACTGTCTGATTCACTTACTTCAGCTTC